GTACTTTTCAAGGACGAAATGCAGAAATCCAGTAGCTTCAAGAATATTACACAATACAAAAGCACAAACTGCAAAAGCAGTTCAATTGAGGTAAAATATGATTAAAAAACTTATTTAGTTCACTGTGTGCATTTGGTATTACTTAATACAGTGGGCAACTTAAGTTCTACGTTACTATAAAAACAGATGCTGTAGAGAATCAGAAGATATCCAACATACTTTTGCTGTAACATCAGAGGAACAGAACAAAACAAGTTGATGACAGTCCTGAAGAGAACACTAAGTACTGTTGCATGGCTATGCCAGAGTAGAAATCGGACTTTTTGGACATGTTGTTTCTCTGACCTGTACTAAACAGCCTATAGTTCTTTTTATAGTAAGACAAGTGACAAAATATGGTGCCTAGGATGACTCCCACCTGCAGGACATTTAAAGAACCAGAACAGCTGAGACTTGCATAAGATTTAGTCACAATGGCTGCAGCTCTGGCCTGAAAGCCCTTTTCTCCTTCAGGGCACATGCTGGTTCAGTAATTCATACATTAGAGCTGGTGAGAAATGTCTTAAACTGTTCCTTGTAAATGTGGACTTAACAATTGAAGTAGAAAAGCTGGCACCTAAATTATGCACTCTCTAGACTCTGAAGTCCTGAGATTAAGCAGCTTGCCATAAAACTTCACCAAAAGAAAAAAAAAAGCATATAAATTGTCTGTCTTGTAATTTAAGAGGACACAATCAACTGTGCTTAGACAAACTCACCACCATTCCTATGTATCTGCAAGGAAAAAAAGCAGTAAGTTACCTTCCCAAAAACATTTTCTGATCTTCCACCAGTTTATTAGTAACAGAATTAAGGCATGCTGCTCTATATACTTTATTCAACACATATTTAGATACAAAAAGATTTCAACCAGCTTTTCACGTTCCACCAGTTAACTATGCCGTGGTAAGCCTCCTATCCAGAATGCCACATGCCTCAATATGCAGCCAAGATTTCCACAGCATTCTTGCATAAACTCTCAGACAGGTACAGAAGACTATCTCTTGGGACACCATGAGGTGGTACTGACATTAAGACGGACCTTGACAGGCTGAAGAATTGCACAGACAGGAATCTCAAAGTTCAACAAATTAAGATGCAACGTTCTGCCCCTGAGGAAGAATAACCACATGCACCACATGGGCCAACTGGTTGGAGAGCAGCTTTGCAGAGAAGCACCTGGGGGGTCTTGGTGGACACCAAGTTGGAAATAAGCCAGCAATGCACCTTTGCAGCAAAGACAACAGACAGCATCCTGGACTGCATTAGGAAAAGCACAGCTAGCAGGTCATGGAAGATGATCCCTTCTACTCAGCACTAGGGAGACCATATCTGGAGTACTGTTCTCTTTAGTTCTCGGCTGCCCAGTAGAAGATATGGTCATATGAGTCTAGCAAAGGGCCACTAACACAATGAAGGGTTTCATAGAATCACAGAATGGCTGAGGTTGGATGGGACCTCTAGAGATTGTCTAGTCCAAGCTCCCTGCTCAAAGCAGGGTCAAACGCTCAGGCAAGCTCTGAGTGTCTCCATGGATGGAAGTTCCACAACCCCTTTGGGCAACCTGTTTGACAAGTCTCACAGTAAAAAGGTTTTTCATATATTTAAACAGAGTTTGCTGTATTTCAATTTGTGCTCACTGTGCCTCGTCTTTCCTCTAGATAGCACTGAAAAGAACGTAGCTGTCGTCTTCATAAATACATGATGGCAGGGACTACTCATTGATAAGATTCCCCCACTCTCTCAGCCTTTCCTTGTATATAACATCCTCCTTAATTCTTGATTAAGGGACTGTCCTGGGGGGGTAGGAGTGGGATGAGGTTTGGACAAAATAAACTCCAGATGTCCCCTCTAGCCTCAGCTATCCTGTGATTCTATAACATGTGGTTACTTTACAGACATGGCATCAAGAACAGCCATTAGGTTTTATTCTTCAAGCAAGATAAATATTTTTTTCTTGTCTGCACAAGCACCTAAAATTAAACAAGGACTGAACCTGATAAAGACCAGTATCAACTCCATCAGTTCACCAATCCAAACAGGAATCTGGATGTTTCTGTACATAGCCACTCAAAGTGAGATGCAAAACTCCTTCTTGAACACTGTACTGTCTGCCCCTTTATCTGCTCCAGGAACTTCCACCATCTACACTGATTGGATCAACATCCCGTAACAAAAAGCACTTTAACCTGTCTGAGCAAATAGCCAAAGATGAACAACCTGGTAGAGAGCTAAGACAGACATAGCATGTTGTTTGATAAATATTTTGGTTCCTCATAGGCCTGAGGTTTAACCTGAATCATCTCTTCCTAGCTCTAAAAAAAATTATACTAAAGCTTCTTCCACTATTGTCTAGAAGTGGTAACATTTTTCTGCTGTTCAAAGTTGCAGAAGCAGCTTCCAATCTTACACTCTCTGAACACAGATTGGGAAATTCCTCAGAACTAGAAAGAGGGCTGCAACTGAATGCAATGAACAAGTTCAAGTGTCTAGACCTTAGAAGTAATAAACTTTGAAAAAGCATTGCCCCCAGTTTTCAAAGGAAGGGTATCAGCTGTGAAGGAGCAAACTGACCAGTGAAAGACCTAGGAAGGAAGGATCAGTGCCTCTTTTCCTGAAAGACCCTATACAGGTTTACTCCCCAACAAGGACCTCACCATGGAAGCTATAACCATACTTGTACTATTCCAGGCTTGGTGCTAAATTTGAGGCTAACTATCTCTTTGGTATGTTTTTAGAGAACGACTTGAAAACAGCACTTGTAAATAGATGAGGTGCATTAAGTTAATATGAAGGACATCTGGTATGCTGATGTAGATAAACAGAATTGTGATAAGACTGCCAATCAAATATAACAGGTATACATTATAGAACAACTTCAGGAAGAGTTGAGGCATGCAACTCGGTAAAAACAAACAGGTCACCACACTTAGACAAGCTGCCTCAGGGGAGGTTTACATTGGATATTAGGAAAAAATTCTTCATGGAAAGGGTAGTCAAGCATTGGAACAGTCTGCCCAGGGAGGTGGTGGAGTCACCATCCCTGGAAGTGTTCAAAAAACAGGCAGACGTGGCACTTTGGGACATCGTTTAGTGGGCATGGTGGTGTTGGGTTGATGGTTGGACTGATGATCTTAGAGATCCTTTCCAACCTTAATGATTCCTAGTTTTTACTTTCATTAAAAAATAATCCAGCCACCAAGCCAGGAAACACGAAATTACTACTCTACCCTTAATTGGCTTAGTGGTGGACTTGGTAGTGTTAGGTTAATGGTCGGACTAGATGATCTGAAAGGTCTTTTCCAACCTAAATGATCCTATGATTCTAAGACAGACAAGTTTTAAAACTTGAAATCCTGTGTATAATGAATGCAGCAATACAGTACTATCAAGAGATAAAAGAAAGGATAACAAGGGAAAAGAGGAAGCAGAAAATAAAAAGCTAGGACTATGCACTTGTGATTAATAAGAAAGCCTGCAGAAAGCACTAGGAAAAACAGCAAATGCATTAGAGGAAATGGGGATGGAACAGAGCAGTCACTTAAAGAAAAATATGTAAGGCAGCTGCAGTTCCCTACAATACTCTCAAAATTGCTGATGTCTTTAATATTAAGCGTTTCTACAGGAAGTCTTCTTAACAGAAGTTTTCAGAGAAACCTGTTCACTGTAAAAAAGCCATGAGTTTATTTGATTATGTGCCATAATAGAAAAGTTTATAGGAAATTGCTGCACCATACACAATGGAGCTATGAAACTAGAAAAAATGCTGATGTACAGAAACATAAAGCTACAAAAACTTTAAAAATTATTCGTTTCCTATATACAGTTAACTTAGTAACTCAAATTCCGAAATATTTTTGTGGCCACTGATCAAAAAAGATTAAATTGTATTAATTAATTACAATTACTTAATTGTACAAAGATGGTACAATTTGTACCTGTACTACAGTAATGCTGAGTCTGCCTACTGTACCCATTGGTCCTCCATACTGTAGCTGCTGAGCTGCCTGGGCATCCAGCTGGATTTGCTGTTGCTGCTGGGTTGGGGTAATGCGAAGAAAATCTTGAGGAAGCTCACCAACATATACCTTAAAAAAGAAAAGATAAAGAAAAAAACCCTTCAAACTTCAGTCTTCCACTTTTACAATGAAAAAGAATAACATAAATCAAAGAAACATTTAGAAAAAACATTTGGCAGAATTTAGCCTAGTTTTGACAGCATGAACAAAGAACTAATTGTGACAAAACTGCCAACTCATGTAGAGAATGTTCTCATACTTGCTTTCAAAAACACTAGTTTACAACATAAGTTTCTGAAAAAAAGTAGGACACACAAAGCCAAGGCTGCTCTGCAACTAAACATTTAAGTAGTCCACACAAAAGTCAGAGCTACCAAGTTTTACATCCCATTCACATACGACATCTGATGGCACCCAGCTCTTTCACTTATTCATCACTCATGTTGGCATCCAATTATTCGTGTGACAAGACACAGCACCCTGCTTTCATTTGAAAGGGTCACTTTCACAGTCACCTTCAAGACAGGTAAAAAATACAATGTTTCCTATGAACCAAGTCCTTTAAGGTAACTAAGAATCCTTCAACATAACAAAGATGACCTAATGCTTTTCCAATGTTAAACACGGATGGCCTGCAACTAACTTTGGGGACAAAATCTCACCATACTCAAAACAATAATGGAGGAATTCAAAAATTTGGTCTATCACAAGAAAGAACCATGATGAAAAATTCAAAGTAGAAAAATCTAGAAAAATGAGGAACTCTGTCAGATGTGCCAATATGAATCAGCAGTCACCATGTATTTTCTGTTATCTTTATGGTAAAAGAAGGGAAAGCATCTACCTATTACTTGTCAATTCTATTACTGTCAATTCAACAACTCGGTTTGTTTCTAGGTTTTAAATGCTCAGTGAACATTAACAATAACACATTTAGAGAGATCATCACATTAAAATAGCAAGCATACTATAATAATAAACTTTAAAAGGCAAATAAAGTGGCATAGAAAAATTATAATTAAGCTGTACTTATTTCCATTGTCTATAGAATTGCTTACATATTTAATATAGAGCTGTCCACCACATCAAGACAGAAGACAGTGCAATTTCTTATATTGCTATCCCAGGCAAGATTACACAATTGTATAACTGGCAAATGCATGCCTACAGAACATACTTTAAGAAGTTAACAGGCCCCTAGGACATAGCTTTTGAAGATCAGACAGCACTTGCATGCCATGATTGCATCTTGGAGATACCAATAGTCATACAAAATGTGATTTGGCAAGAGCTGCAATTTCTGTCCGAGAGCCTCAGGATCCTGGCAACAGTAGGTGTTACATGCCGGAAAGGAAGTTTATCAAAAAGCTAAGGAGGAAGTACTGAATGCCTGCTGCTAGGCTATTGGGAGGGAGGAGAAAAAGAGGGAATCAGGTTTTTTTACATCTTAAAATTTTACAATTAAGATCCTAAGTAACTTAAGCTTTAACAAGTGGGGAGGGAAATGGGGGCAGAAAGGGAGAAGACTAAGCTAAGAGAGAGTGCTAGTATTAAAAGTTGGGCTGGAAATTAGACAGGGTCTTCTAACAGCCTTCTCATTAGAATACATGTTATAAAAAAGAAGTTAGTTTTAAAATAAAACATAATCCATTTAGGAAAGATTTGAAATCTCACCAGAATTAGCAAGGCAATGGCATTTACAACACAGCAGGTCCCCTCCAACCCTTGACCTCCAGGAAGTTTCAAATCTGGTATTATTAGCATCTCTAAGAATAGATATCAAAGACTTCCCATAGTCAGAAGTGGTGGCTGCAGCCCTGAAATTACATTCCCATATGTGCAAGCTCCTGCTTTCAACTTCTCAGAAAACAGGATAGCATATTTTGTCTCAACCATCTTAACATGGACATTGGAAAACTTAATTCATTCACAGGTGAGAAGTCTAATAATATCTTTCAGATCTTAAATTTTATTTTAAGTCACCCAAATACTGCTCAAAAATAAAATACATAAACTAGTCTCTGTACTGAGGTCCAAAAGGGAAAACCGAAAATCTGTAAAGGAGACCAAAGTTTTCTTGCAGCACCTAACTGAATGATCTAAAATCAGCTTATCTCACACAAAGATACATTCTCATGCTGGAATTGCAGAGCAGACATACACAGAAACTGAGAACAGCTAGTGTAACTAAATTCTCAGATGATCCAACTGGTAAACCCCTCCAAAAGGAAGAGTGGGGAACAGGGGAGGCATATGCTACCATCTTAAATGCTCTGCTCTGACTGAGATCTTGTGTACAAGTCCTGGTGCTATATTCAGTAAAATATCTAGGAGAGATGCTTACGGAGGAAAATACACTACTCAGTAAGTTCTTACGCTAACTATCAGTTGATTCCATATTGATAAGAGACAAATCAGTAGTATGCAATCTATTTTCTGTAAAGAAAACAAGCTAATTAACATCTTCCTCAAAGCATTTAAAAACAGACACATAATTGCCACCTCCAAACCTGAATCAAAAATACAAAAGTTACATAACCAGAGTTCAACCACAGCTTTTGTTTTCAAAGCAAGGAGAACATAAGTGACAAGCTTGTATCACTGATTCTACTCAACACCCACTTTACAACAAATGCACTTCCCTCTACTATAACAACATCTAAGGAAGAACGTGAAATTCAACCCCACTTTGCCATTAACCGTAGAACAAAAAAATTAATTCCATGTAGTAGAACTCTCTTTTCAAGCAAGACAGTAATATGACAGTGTTATGACAGAACTACAGTTCAGAAGACAAATGTTGAGCAGGCATTCATAAAAATAAGCCTGCCCTGTTAATTACTTCCTAATAAACTTTGACAGCATTGCATATCAAAAAAATGAATTATCTAGAAACAGAATAATACTGCCCTTCCTATCTCCTAAAACAAACTGAAGGCGGTGTGATGTTCTACAGCTATTTGATCTCATTTAGGACTGGGCTGCCTCAGTCTCACCCTCCTGTTTCTTCTCACCCTCAGTTCTTGTGCAACATTAAATGGTGCCAAAGCAATTGCAACATATGCTAGTGCACAGGGCTGATCAGAAGAAAATGAAACAAGGGTTGGAGGTAAAGGGAAGAGGAGGGGAAGTCACCAAGACTCTTACCTTGCTAACTGATCATGTGAGTACTGGTACCTACATACAGGACGGAAAGGGAACACAGAGCCAAGGACAACCACAAATGTCCTGACTTAAGGAACCGTATGCTGAGACATGATACATTCAGGAAACTAACTAAGGTTTCCACACTAGTAATTACCAAGGAACTCTGATACTAGGTTTCAGAGAAGTTTCCTGTTAAAGAGCTTTAAACACCTAGCTACTCAAAAAAGTTGCAACCATTCTCCATTGAATGGTTTTACTGTTTTTAAGAAAGACTGAGTGAATGAGAGAATTTTGAACTATTATTCTATGTTATGCACACTAAAGAAAAATTTGGGATCAGATAGGATGCATCCAGAGCTCCTGAAAGAGCTAGCTGATACTTTTTCAAGGCTACTCTCTATCATCTTTGAAAGGTCATGGAGATTAGATGAAGTCCCCTATAACTGGAGAAAGACAAATATCATACCCATATTTCAAAAGGGCAAGAAGGATGACGTGAGGAACAACAGGCAGGTCATCTTCACTTCGGTTGCTAAGAGATTCATAGAGCAAGTCCTTCTGGAAGCCATTTCTAGACACATAAAGGAAAAACCAGGGACTAGAAATACTCAGCCTTTACCAAGGCTGTTTGGTTTGGGGTTTTTTTAAGGAAAAAAAGCCTAATAAGCCCAACTGCCTTCTACAATAAAATTATTAGAATCTGTGAATAAGCAGAAAGCGGTAGGTATTAAAGCTGGGTAATTACAGTCCAAATGGGTGGATCACTGGATGGATGAAAAACTGGCCGGGTCACTGAGCTCATATGTTCAGTGGTTAATGACTCTAGAGGTTGGTTAAAAGCAAAGTTTCTCAGAGGTACTGAGTACTAAGAATAACTTACGTGTCTAATATTTTTCCTTATCAGTGACCAGAAGTGAAGACAGAATGTACCCTTAACAGTTTTGAGGATGCCACCAAATTTCAGGGGGAATGACTGGAATACTTGAGGACAGGACCAATGACCAGAGAGATAGAATAATTCACTGGCAAGAATCTCATGAAATTTAACAAGTGCAAAGTCCTGTACTTTGGACAGAAAAATCCCTTGCATGGGTACAGAATTGAGAACTGGCAGGGCTGCAGCTCTACAGACAAAAACATGTGGGTTGTGGTGGAGAGCAAGCTAAACATGAATGAGCAGAGCACTGTCACAACAATGAAGCCTAACAGCATACTATACTGGATCAACAAAAGCCTAGCCAGTAGGCTGAGGAAAACGATTGTTCCCATTTACTCAGCACTCGTTAGACCACATCTGGAATATTGCAACCCATTTGGGGCCCAGCAGTACATGAATAATTATAAACTTGAGTGAGCCCAAAGATCCACCAAGATGGCCCATGAAAAGGGCTGTAGCACAAGACTTGTGAGGACAAGCTAAGTATTTGTTTAGAGCAGAAGAAACTTAGGACACACCTCGTAGCACCTTTCCAGCATCTATGAGGAGGTCATTAAGAAAACACAGCCAGGTTCTTTTCCGAGATGCAAGGCAAGAAGAAAGGAGACCTCAGTTGTCAAACTGAAACAGGGGAGGTTTGACATGAAATAAGGAGGAGGAAAAAAAAAATTGATCACAGGGACAACCACGGATAGGAACAAATTGCCTAAGACGACTGCAAAAACTCTCACCTTGGAGGTTCTGAAGATCCTGCTGGACAAAGCCCTGAGCAACCTGGTCTGAATTAAAAATTGACCATGTTTTTACCAAGAGGTTGGACCACATGGCCTCCTGACATCCTTTCTAACCCAAACTATTCTATGATTCTATAGAACTCACGTTACAGCATGACACATCCCCAGTTAAAACTCCTGCAGAATTGTAGCCAAAGGCTCTACTTCAGAATTTAAATTCAGAGATGGACAAAGGAAAAAATATAACAGCAATTAAGTTTATTACATTGACAGATCTTTGCTGTTTGTTTTGGGTTTGGGTGTTTGGGGTTTTTTTTGGGGGGGGTGTGGTGTTTTTTTAAATGTCACCAAAATAAAGAAAAAGTGTCACAGACTGCAAGGTACCAGACATTTATTCTCCTGTTCTTATTCTTTTTTCCTGTCGCCAGAAGTTTCCCGTCTACTTTGTCACTTCCGTTGCTTCCATGTGTCTACCTACAAAGGCTTTATGATTCTATTGTCATCACCTTAATAGTATTTTCCCTTCCCCCCAATTACAAGACCTATATTTAGTCTTGACTAAGTATTTTACCACAAGCTACTGCCTCTGGATTTTCCCAGCATATATAAATTTGTCCACGACATTAACATTAAGTATTTGCAAAATACATTCCACAGCACAAACACACAACTGTTAATAAAGAAAAAAAGTTTGATTTTACTGAAGAATAAATCAATATGAACCATTGCTTACAGCCAAAACAAGATTCCCTTCTTCACTAAAACAATAATTTGAATTCCTGCTAAGTATGGCAGGAACTATTGTATTCAAACATGAGTTAAAAATTAAAGATAGGGTGAGTGTCCATAGACACCTCAAATTCAAGAAGCATTTCTAGCACACTTGAGCTATGTGGATTTGCTCTGCACTCAATGTAACATAGGAATAAGATCAGAAAAAGACATAGAAACAGATCAAAATGAGGAAACCCATGAATTCACATTGGGATTAACATTAAGGGAGAAGGGTGATTGCTATCAATTCCAAGAACAGGCTTCTGATTTTTTCTATACCTCTAGACATACCAATACAGATATTCCTTTTCTCCAAGTCTTGGTTAAAAGAAAATGCCATTGGATGCAACAGAAAATAAGGCACTCTGTGCTTTAAGGTACTTGTCTTATCTGTTAGAGAGCAAGAACTTCAAAGCATTACCAATGCCACCCTCAACATTTTCTGTCAAAGGAACACGAGATCAGATCACAGCACTTAAAAATTAACTCACATTTTGCTTAGAAAAAACTCAGTGACATCTTACTCCCTCAACTTTTTAAACAACTTCTGAAATCCAAAGTCATTGCAACAATGGGTCTTCATGAAATTTCCACCTTCACAGATCAGGATTTTAATACTACATATACCCACATCCCAATAAGAAACAAAATATCTAATAAAATACTCAGCTATACCCAGAATTATCAACACAATTATTTTGGTGATGGGACTTTGTATTCAAAATTGCTCACGTGACAGCATAACATATATCGATACTGAACAACGCAAACAGAAACTGCTTCTTTGTCACCTTCGTTCAGAAAAAGATATCAAAGTTTTGAAGAGTCTCAAAACAAAACTTCAAGTAAAATCAGAGACAATAAAACTTACATAGTTAAATGACAGTATTAGGACAAGAAAAGAGAAGTAATCATAAATAAAGCCTGCCCATTAGAAGATTTCCAATCATCAGAGTAGTAATTGTTAGGGAAATTAGGAGCAGAAATCTAAGTAGTCTTAGCTTGGTACTTGATCTAATTTTAGATGACCTAAGATATTTACCAGCATGGTGAATAACCACAGAGATTAATTTTGGGTGTGCCTGGCTAGCTAAGGAATCACAAATCACAATGTTTTGGTCTCTCAGACTTAACCTGAAGCCTGATCAAACCATTCATTGATACCTCTCATTTGGAAAAGTTATCATTTAGCAGCCCTTACATATTGAGCTTTAGTTTAGATTCCAAAAGCTGGTTTGTTCTCAAAATATCACAAAATGTGAAAACACACTAATTCTATAACATCCTGAAAACAGCCAGTGAAATCTATATTCCAGCAGAATATTTACCAGTAACAAACAGGATTAATTCCAGTTCTGTTACATCTAAACAGCAATCAGAAGTTTTAACTATTCACCAAATAAACATTTGTCACAAACTAGAAAGCACAGGTATAAGAACAAGACTGGCAACAGTATAGCAGCGTACCTTGTTTTCTTACCTGCATGAAACAGCCTTGAATATTTTCTTGCCTATTCAAACAGAAAGGTACAGAACTGTTCTCTGCAGCACTAAAGAGAACATGTTTCCCAACCCTTTAGCACCATTTAGTGGCTATTCATTTGTAATGCAGTTGTGTATTTAGAAACAAGTAGAATTCTGTCTTCCTCTCTAGAGATAATTAAGAAAGGCTGTCATGTACCATATCAGCATCTTCACCTGTGAATGGCAGCTTAATATTGCATAATTTATTCATTCATTTGAAAACATTCAAATCTCTGAAGTAGTTAGGACAAGGAAGAAAAGCATACACAACAATGTTAGGAACACATAAGAAAAAAAGGTATTTATATGATTTTGAGCTCTTTTTGAGTAAAACCTGTTACATATTGACAGAATTCTATCTGGGTGCAATCACACCATCAACTCTCAAACACCAAGCCTTTGGGGACAGCACCTACCTAATTCACCACAGATTCAACCAGAACAGCAGTCCTTGTCTTTTCATTATACCAAGAGAGAACAAAAATCTTAATTCACTCGTTTTACCTTAATTCTCCACTTTAACTTTTATTCCAACAACAGAATCATCATCACAATCCATTGTAAAAGGAAACTATTCTGGAAGACCAGACAAATAAGACATTTTAAGGAATTAAACTGATGATCATATTATATTACTGTCATGAGATAACAACAGACAGTGATGCAGTTTTTCAAGATTAGCAGTTTAATAATTCACTCCTCTGGTCTTTCACCAAGGCTGCAGAGACACACAAAAAAAGGAACTGTTTCTAGAAAATAAAATACAGCGCTTAAATTGATTGTTTATGAAAATCTTACTTCACCTGCAGAGCAACATCGTATCGCCAATTACCACCAGATCCTTCCAGACAGGAGGGACAGGAACAGCACATCGATCGAGAGCTGATGTTATACCGCAGAGTTATACACCACACCGTAGAACATCCCAGTGTGGGGCAAGATTATTCCAGGGCAAAACTAGACAATAACACATTCCCAATAAACTATCAACACTAACTCCCAGAACACTGCTAAATTGGTTCCAAGACTGCTCAGTTCTTCCCCCCCCCCCAACACATACACCTACATACTACCATTAAATGCGTCTTTCAGCACGTTTCACGTTCCAGCTTTCAGGTGGAGAGACACCTGAATCTGCCCAGCCCAACCATGAAAACACAAAGCTCTACTGTACTTTAAAGAGAAAAAGGTTTATCTTTGGTTTAGTTTAAGCCGTTCCCTCCTTCGGAAGGCCCTTAGACAAAGAACGGGCAGAACAGCCTCTTCAAGCCCTACACGCAGATAGGAGGGACTTTCCCTCCCCCTTTCCCAAAGCCTCTTCGCAAGGGCAGAATTTCCCCCGCCCCCTGCCCCCGTATCACGGCAGTCTGGGGAAGAAGAGAGGGTTTTTCTCTCCTCTCTGCCACGGGCCGCGAGCGGGGAAAG